ATTCACACGTGAATTCACAAAATTCAAAATTCACACGTGAATTTTGATCGTACCTGAAAAAAATCTTAGAATACGAAAACATTGGTGAATGCCACAAATTCTCCTAAATCACTCGTACGCACAACTTAAGAACAAATCTGTGTGTACGAACGGTTCTTGCATGAGGCCCATAAATATTATCTATAAAAATACTGCTACTGTTATGGTCACCTTTTCTGTTTTCTAAGATTGCTTAGCTGTGACCATCTGGAATGGATTGGATCAGTCGCAAAAGTCCATCCAGTGATCTCTGAAAGTTTTATTAGAATYTATTCGTGAATTGCAATAAACTAAGCATTTATCGAAAACTTTTTTTGCAATACTGCCTTTTTTGTTGTGAATTATCACAGTAAATAACTGAAATAAACTGAACTGAATACCACATAGTCATACAAAAAAGAATTCCACAGCATAACTAAAGGAAAAATAAAGGAAGAGGATCATTAAGTTTAGTTTATGCACAGAAGCTGTTAAAAAAGGTTAATTGTTTGTTGTTGCTCTGAAGGGATTTCAGCTCTTTTACTGTGGTTGCTTCATACTGTATTTAACCTCGACCTTAGAGGAAGCTGGGTTAGAAACTGTGAATCTCTGGGGGGAAACCAATTAAATTTCCCTCTGTGTTCTTTGCGGCATAATGATTTTGCAACAGTGTTCTTTTCTCAGTAATAAATTCATAACCCCTTAACTTCTAAAACTCCTATCTAAAAATATTGCCGAACTTTAATGAAAAATACCCCGAAAGTTATTTTTACAACTTTGCAAGCTGTTCGTGCCATAATAATACAATAATTATACTTTGAGGTTTGGTCTGGTGCAAATTTAAATTCTGAGGTGAGTATTTACCCTGCACATAATCACGTTGAATACAGTCATGAAGTTTAACGCAGTCAGTAATAAACTTTTACCATGAAAAGACACAAACTTTCCAAACTGAATATTGTGGCAAGCATACTTCATTGCAGGCTAGCAGCACATATTTATCACCGCAGACCAGAATCTGTCTCAAGGCTTCTGGATCTTCTGGAGCTCAGCTAGGAAGATTTGCCAGACACTTAAAGAATTATGTTTTATGTTTGTTGAGCATTTAAAATGACATGCAAATAGGAAACACAAGTACTAAACATCTCATTTGACTAGTCACTACACAGAAATTAGCACATGGTTCGACTGGAGCAACTGAGGACAAAGTAACGTATGTTTGWGTCTGTTTGCGCTAACATGCATGTAAATGCCAATGTAAATAACTGTGAGTGGAGGAAACCGAGAGAACTGAAAGTCGAGAACGGAGTGAGGAAATAGAGCAGAAAAACACGCCCCGCCATAAAGAAAATCCTGAATAATTCCGCCTTGAGATGTGCGAGGGCCGCAAAGAGCACATAGGAGCATCCGGAGGTCGTTCCCATGGCAACCTTTGCCCAGGGAGATCACTGACCCTCCCGCCACGTCCTACAAGCGGGGCACAGATTGTAGGTCACATATGGCACCAGCGATCCAATCAAACCTAATCTGGCTTGACTTGCGGGTTATAAATTATACTGGAAAGCTGGTTTACACCCTGGCTTAGCTCATCGGTGGGCTCATATGTAAGATAATGTCTGTGTTAATGACAAATAGATGCGCTGACCCAATAAATGTGGATGTCAACAAAAGCACTTTTTGTCTCTCGGTTGGGAAAACAAAGATCAAGGGTTAACATGCTGAAATAAACCCGTTGATTCTGAATCCCCTCTGCACTTATGCAGTGTTGTATATTATTAGATGTGGGCTTACTGTATATCCACAATAGAAAATACTCATGTTGTCTTAACTGAAGGTCACATCAAAAAACTTGTTAGAGACTCAGGGCTTTTTATTTCTATTTCTTTGTTGTTTTTAGTGTCTTCTGTATATTTTCTAATGTTTCAGGTCAAAAAGCTGGAGTGACATCACTTCACATTGTGATAAAGTTTTCTTAAATTAATGGTTTACATTTTTCACTTATTACAGTAACTTAATATGTGCCAAGCATGCAATACTTCCCCAGTATTCCTTAGTGAAACATTATTTATTTATTTATTTATTTATTTATTTATTTATTTATTTATTTATTTATTTATTTATTTGTTTGTTTATTTATTTATTACTGTTATTAATGTGTAACTGTATTTTTTGTTTTTATTTATTTGTGTTGTTTTGTTCAGGCAGTTGCAGAGGGCAGAATAAGTAAGGAGGACCGAAACGACATTAAAAAGAACTTTACCTGATGTTTTATAATTTAGCCTTCATGTTTTTCCAGCTTACTTCTAATAAATTATGTATTTTAGAACATAATTTACACTTTACTGTTTTTAAATATATAATTTCTTTTTTACTTGTGAATGCATTTGTGTTTCATAACTGATTATATATTTAATTTTTTAAATAAATTTTCCCACAAGTCTTAATTCCATGTGTTGCTTTTTACATTTCTCTGTCTCATTTCTCTGTTTTTACTTTACCTTATGCAAATAAGGTGGGCGGGCCTTCTTCTATCAGCTCCTCTTATTGGTCAAAAGACAGGAAGGAGCAGGATCCATGTGCAGATCTACTGTGCATGCTTGTGCTACCCTAGTTTAGCTTAAAGTTTCGTTTAAAACAAAGACACAGGTAAGTGTTTTCCTTCTTGTCTTTGTTTTTAATTATATTTCTGCTTTTATTTCTAATTATGTCAGTTTCAGCTCTCCATAGAATGGGACCTGCCGAATGTATTTTTATGTATTTGAAATATGAAAAAGAGTCAGTGATGCTGTACTTCAATAAAAAAAATATTTTAACAATCATGGTATTTCTTCCAAACTAATACAAAGTGTGAGAAATCCTTTGGAAGCACCATATGAAGGTGTGAGAGCTAAAGCTGCTTGAGCTGCAAAAACACAGCCATGAATAATTTATGCAGCTGTAGTTTTGGGACAACGCTGCTAGTCTAAAGTTGGCTAAAATATGTTTTATTTTCATTTTGTTAAAAGTCTTCACAGGAATGCTAATCAGGTTTCTAAATAATGATAAATTAAACTCAAAAAAGATTTAGTTTGTCTTGTTTTAATTCATAACACTGATATGTTGGTAGGAAAACATTTTCATGGTTTCATAATGCAGAAAAACAGTTTTTTTTTTTTTGTTCTGTAAATTTCACAATCATGATTCAGTTTTGTGAGCACTGTGGACTGCAGCACCCAGACAAAATCACAACTCTCATCTGTGCATAATAGCATGCTGGGGGAAATGGAAGTCTCTGAGAAAAGCTTTTTATGGCAGTATAAATATTTTAAGTGTGTGAATCATATCAGGGAAACAGGGGGGAAAGTTGGTGTGTATTTTCTCTTCAGACACTATTTAATAAAAATAAAACTATGCATTTAAGTCATTTTTATTTTAGGATGATGAGAGTCCGAATCTCTGTGAAGGAAAGATAACCCGAGTTTGATAGAAAACGGCTCCTGATCTTCGTCTCTCCTCGCTCCATCACCACCCCGTGGTTCCTGATTTCATGAGTGAGCTGGTAATAATCATGGGTGACTGGATTTTCACCTTTTTGCTGAGATCTATAAGTGAGGGCACATATGGGAATGCTTGAGATTTAAAGTCAGGGAARTCCTTCCATCTGCTTCTCGTTCCTTTATCTGCATTTTATATTCTTTCAAGCTGAGGAAATTACATTAAGCAGAAAGTCTAATTGTTGTAAAATATAATTATATGTATAACACTGCCACAGTTAGTTTGCACTGTGTTCTAATGAAGATTTGCTTAATCTATCAAATGATAGAAATTTAATTAAGATTTAATGGTGAGCGCATATGAATACAATTTTGCACATAATGAAATGTTGAAAAAAGAAAACGTTAAAACGAGAGCTGTAGTCGAGACCTGTTATAGACATTTTAAAACTTTTTTTCCTCTGAAGAAGAATTATTTTAGGACAAAACCAATGTATAGCATCACACTTCAGTTAAAAATTAACTGAAGGATCTGAACTCTGTGTCTCCCTCTAAGGCAGGCTTGTCTGTTGAAGCTGCTATAAGCACCGGTTTGAATGTGTGCCTACACAACAATGATTCACACAGGAAATAAA